GTGTGTGTGTGTGTGTGTGTGTGTGTGTGTGTGTGTGTGTGTGCATACACATGTGCGTATGATCATGTAGTCTTAAAACCACTGAAAGCGCTTTACAGTACATTTTTTTGCCATTCGCCCATTCACACATACATTCATACTGCCAACCTCCTGGTTAGAGGACGGCCCGCTCTCCCCCCTGAGCCACAGCTGTGATAGGGATCTCCATCAACCAATGGTTAAACATCAGGTGTATCAGAACAGAACACAATCTGGGCAACATCACCTATGACTACTATAGACATACATGTCAGTTCACATCAGTAGCACAAGTAAATAGTAATCAGTTAGCAAAGAGGGGTTTAATGTTTGATTACAATACTGTTTAAAGAGTGTCTTTGTGTTCCTTACATTTTAAACATCTGAGGGGATCAACACACATTTGAACCACTTCAGTGTATCTATGTCAAGATAAGATATGAGTCTGTACGTGACACTGAAGCACGACCAGAGAGTTGAATTTCACTTCATGTTAACATAGCAGACTTATGCAGAGGTTTTAATGAGGGGGTTTGACAGAAACATGCCGAGTGAGAGCCTTAATTGTCTCATTTGTTTGCCCTTTCAGCTGGTGAGTGAGCAACAAGAGAGCCGCCCGCTTCTGAGCCCTTCCATTGACGATTTCCTCTGCGAGACCAAGTGTGATGGCGTTTCCCGCCCAGTGACTTCCAACACAGCTGGTACCGTACAACCGTACAACCGTACAACCGTACAAAGATTCGTCACATTTATAACAGACCAACAAGCATTTGAAGTTTTGTTTTAATTGGAGTCATGTTCAAATTACTGCACTGCAGCATATAAAGGAAAAACTCTGTGGCTGTTAACACAAGAGGTACTTTCATACAAGTACACAATGTGCTTGAACGAGGAACAATTTTCTAAATATATTCAATGATGTCTGGTTTTGCTCAAAGCTACAGAACTAACAGTAAACAAAGACTTAAATGTTCACCTTACTGAAACAGAAATTGTGCAGGAGCGTCGGAGATATAAGTGGCCCCTCCTAGATTTACCACTGCTGTGTTTAGTACTATGATCATAGAAGAGCCAAAGATTCCATGTCAGTCTTGAGTCTCTTTGTGAGATCAGGCTTTTTCTGCCTGATTACAACATTTTTTAGCTGAATGAAAAAGAGAAAAATGAGGGTTTTCTACCACATTTTACTGTCGTATATAGTCGCACTAGTTTCTCTGGCCTCTCCTGCCTGGGGCTCTGCTCCTACAATATTACACGCATGCACGCACGCACGCACGCACGCACGCACGCACGCACGCACATGAGCAGAGAGGCCACCATGGAGAAAGTGAACTACATAGATGACAACTCTGTCAAAAGGAAGCGGAGAAGCAAAAATATTTTCCCATTCCCATTTCCTTATTCTGCAGTTGTAATTTTATACAACCACAGTGCACTGTTACACACAAGCTAAAACTAAAGCTGTCTGAATATAACCAGTACAACCATTGCAGAAGACGAGGGTATGAAGAGATGTGCAGCTCAAATCTCAAAAGTTAAAACCATGAGGAAATCTGACATTTCTCTGGGTTGCAGTCTCCTCCTCACCTTTCACATATCTGATGTTTCCATCTGCCTCTATTCTGTGTCTTCTGTGAAATGACAAATATGTCACATTCTTCATGTACATCATGATTTAATGAGTGTGTTTCTAATGCAGCTCGTCGCATTTTCTTTTAATTAACAGACAAACCTCACCACCTCAGCCAAGTGTAAAGGCTGATAATAATAGCTTATTGTTTATCCTACTCACAATTCAAAGCACTGGCCAAAAACTTTCTATTTCATTTTACCTGGAAAATATTAATACTTTATAATATCTTAAAAAATACCTTAAAGGGATACGCAACACTATGCCACTCACCAACGACTGGATTGAACTGAGCTGTGTTGGGATTGAGGGGGAGACTACTCTGGATTGTTTTACGTATAATGTGAAGTCAAGTCTAACATCTTCTTTAGTGTTCTTCTTTTTATTGTTCCAAATGTTGGTGTTTCAATAAAACCCAGAAACCTTTTCTTACTCACCCACTCCCACCTCCACAAAAAAAAAGAGCTTTGAATCGAACTGAGAACTGATTTGGAAAATCATTACAGTTCAAGTATATATTCATCATAATGACTTTATTCCACTGATACATGAAAATAAACTGGGTCAAAGAAGGTAGAATTTGTAAGTAAGTAGAATTTGACGGATCTGACAGATGCCAAGTGCCATCTTGGTTTCCACATGGATGGGACCTTGACCACTGAGCTGTATCATCATTTGAATTATGATTTGCAGAAGAAGCCTGCACAGCTGACATGTGTCATCTCCAAACTGGCCACTGACTGTGCTGATGCAGTCGGGTAAAATCTGGAATATGTTGTGGGGAAACTCTCAACCTTCTGTCTCTCTGAAGCCTCCTGCTGCTCCTGCTGTCGATGACGCAGGCCTAATATGAACTGGTCGTCCCAAAATCAACGAAAGGGTTAAATCCTGTCTAGAATGTCGTCAACATACAGTATATTAAGAATGGACAGAAGTGTTTCATCAAATCAAAGCTGTTTGTATACAGTGTACACATTCTCTGCATGTTTACAGGGTTTCCTCCTGCAGTCTGAAACCATTCATATGAAGTGGATTTTAGGTTTAACAGTCTGTCAATCTGTTTTCACACTGTGATGGACTGGCATCGCTTCCAGCGTTGTATGACACAAAACAGGAATTAGCAAGGAAAAGAAAAATCGATAATGAATGATAATTACCAGCTCAAATATGCTAATCCACATGAGACCTACATCATGCTCTCTCTCTCTCTGGCATGCTGTCTTACTTCCTTTTTATTTTGAGGTTGATGACTGTTCTTGAGTCTTGGTGGAAAAAAATCTATTATACATTTTAAACTTGTGTCATGTATGTGGGGTTTAGAAACACATCTGTTGAATATTTTTTCTATATTTATTAAAAAAAAAAANTCTGGCTCCAAATGCACAAGATGGCAATGTTCATATCCAGGATATTTTGGCTGTATTTCTTTGGACATGTGAGACAGTTCCCCCATTGTTTCCCTTCTTTATGCTAAGTGAAGCTAAAAAGCTGCTAAACAGTAGCTTCATATTTACAGTACAGATGTAAAGTGTTATCGAGCATCTCATCTAACTCTTTGTGAGAAAATTATTAGTTGTATTTCCCAAACTCTTCCTGTAAAGCAGGAACAAATTTAGAATATTATATGCATCTTCTCTGCTGGTTTTGATTCCTCCTCTGACCTGAAGTGACCTATTTCTTTTGGATACCACCAAGAAATATGGATTAAGCTTCAGCTTGTGAAAAGAGGAATCAAATGGAATTTTGAAAAAGGTGGAGGCAGGCGCCGTATCAGTCTTGTGCAATCACCTGCAGTTACTCAGGCGTGCGCTGGACGGGTTTCTACAGAAATCTCAAGAGTGTTGTCTGAAGATTGCCATGTCTTGCAGCATCCCCCCCCCCCCCCCCCCCCCAGGTGGATGAAACCCCCCTCTCCTCGGTGCATACACTTGGAAATCTTTTTTTTCTTTTGTCAGCACTCCGACCCGCTGGTTCAACAGGGATACGGTGGAGACGCCACAGTTCTCACGTTTCACAGCTGATTCATGTGATTCCAGCGATCAAATAAAGATTGGGCTTTTTGAAATGTATTGCTAAGGATGTCATTCCCTCTCTTTCATATCCCATTATATCTGTCAGTCATGTTGTGAGGCTGAACAGCTTGAGAATTCAGTTTATTTGCTCAGCATCAGTCCAGGGCCACCACACAGCAGCTCATCATCCATTAGATAAATAGACAGCACACACACATTGAGCTAACACATCCAGTGAGCAGAAACATTTCTGACATCATTCCCTTGATTTCTGATTGCATTTGTCATCTGAAGAGCACAAGTCAGGGGAGACAAGCTTACTCTCTAATTATGCAGAGATTTCAGTCAACACATGCTCTCAGTTGGTTGTCATGAAACCGCAGCACTCCAATTATGCACTCATGTTTTGAACTTGCAGTGCTCAAGAGGTACAGTCAAAGTCCTTCAAAATGAGTGAGACAAGTTTGTAGGTTACCAAAAACACTGAATGAAGTTTTACTGTGATTAGGCCCTTTTATCTAAACTAAACTTGACTTAAAGGTGTGTAGAATTTAGTGATATCTACAGGTGAACCTTCATGTTGCAGGTGAACACTCCTCATCTCACCCTCCCCTTCCCAACATGAGAGAGACCCTGTGATGAACTTCAGTTGTCATGAAAACTCAAAAGGTTTTAGTTTGTCCAGTTTGGACGACAATACAAAACACTGCGTTCTCCACAGAGAGGAGGGGGGCCATGTAAATTAGAAGTTTTTAAATATAAAGGAAAAGAAAACGATTTAGATGAAACACACCAGCAAAAACATCACCAGGATTATTTTATATTAAATTTCTGCCAAAAATTCCTTTTACCTAAATCTCACACACCTGGATCAGGATGGATTCAGCAGGACTTTCAGGGTGTTCAATGCTCAAGAAATAAACTTGCCAAGTTCTTCATGCACATCATAATCATGCTAATGACAATAGGTATCAGACAAAAGCCAGAAACTATATGGTACTGTTGCTGCAGGAGACAGAAAAAAAAGATGCGTCAGAGCCTGACCAGGTTGTTTCCCCTGTCTGAATCAGACGCACCGTGGGTCTGGGTCTGCAGCTGCCTGTACCATCACAGACAGCTTCACCAAACAGACAGGATGACTTGATGCAGTGAAGTGATTTCCCCTGATAGAGCAGCGTTAAAGTGAGGAACTACTTCTGAGGAAAGAGGGACACTACTCAATATTCTGGCAGCGCTGTAAATACATATTTTTTCCAGAGAGAAGCAGCATGAAAACAACATGAAATTGCTAAAAACACAGCCAGCAGCAAAACATGATGATGACAGGACTCAAACCCCCAAAATATCAGAAATAAGAAATCAGCTGTGAGAGGAAAGAATGATTTCCAAGAAATCCTATAGATGCCAAATATTTCTGAAAAAGAAACCAAGAAGGATTAAAATCTTTTAATTTCCAATTACAAAACTTCTCCCCTTTCATGAAGTCTGACTATTACAAACTCTCTGTAGCCATGGCACTGGATGACAGCACATACAAAAGTCGTGCCCCTCGACATACGGCTGTGTCCTTCTTTGCCGGTCAACCTACCTGATATTTAATTACTTAATTGACCAAAGTGGAGCTCCTCGAGGGGGCTGCCTTTTCTTTATCAGACTGAAGTATATTTAGAACATCTGAAAAGAGCAGCATCCAGTTTTTCTAGATGTCCACCCAGGGAGCAACACCGTGACAATTTAAGTACCCTTGACAGCTCAACTCACCGTGTCAGAAGAAGTGTAGATCAAAATCAAAGCTTCAGGAAGTACTATAAGTGAAAGCTATCACTCCCTCTTATTATAAAAGAGTGGGGTTCCAAAGTGACTTAAATTTAAATGTACCAGACTAAGTTTTGCAACACCGCTGCAAAAATATATGACATATAACAACTGTATACTTATAAAAGGAGGGGAGCTGACCTAGTGCTATCCCCCACAGTTCTGTCTTCAACACTGGACCTGCTGGATCTCAGTGAACCTGGTGAGAGGAGGAACAGTAAGGACAGGAGGAGTACGCTGATGTCCCGGTGCGACAGCCAGAAGAACAACCCACACAGGAAGAAAACGGATGAGACGGAGCTGATCCAGGTGGAAGTTGAACAGACAGGATCAAGCATGAGAACTCCAGAGAGAGCATCGCTCGACTCAGGTAGGAGGACTGCTAAGTTGAAATAATTGTTTATAAAACACAAAAAAATCATTGAGCTTATGTTGCATGCGTATGTAATAGAAGTTGGGGACACAACAACTAATTTTGATTGAAGGAAACAGATATAACCAGAGGCTTCAGAGAGGATGTCATGACTCTCGAGCTTACACAAAGCCACCTTCCTTTGTAAAACCCTGTGTAATTTGGCTTGAATTCCATTTTCAACTACAACATTACTTCCATACAATATCATATGCGTCTATAAAATCTTAACTCTTAAATATCTTTTAATAGCTTTATCTCACAATCAACCACCTCCAACTTTCACCCTCTGAGGAACAGACCTAGCAAATGTTCGACAGGCCACAGAGGGATTGAGACAATTTTCTGTAATGAAAGGGATCATCTAAAAACGCATTAAGAAGAAACAGCCTATTACTTTAGTATTTGCCAATTGAGAAGGTTGAAGTCTACATTGAGAGCTAATTATGCAGAGTGAGTCAAACTACAGTGGGGTGAATAATTCATGACAGTGAGTCTGATTATAACCTTGGTGCAAAAACTTTTTTCTTTTGTTCTTTTAGACACCCACAGCAATATTTTACTTCCAGTTAAGATTTGAAGATTTGTTTATCAAGTCAAATCTACGTAGTTACTTTTAAATTGTAATTTAATAATTGTTTGATTGACGGTTCCAAATTAACAGAATATTTGCAAGATTACTGATATTTAATATGTGGAATATAGATTGTGATGTGCAGTATATTTAGTTCAGTCAGTTTTCTGATTTTTGTGTTATTCCTGTCAATTGCTAACATAGGTTCACCGTTGGATAAATGGGAGGAGCTGAACCCCAACCCTGAGAGAAATGGCAACAGAAAATGGAAGCTGGAAAGACGGCGTTCATCCAAAAATTCATCTAATGAGTTTCTGTGGTAGGTTTTATCCCTCACTAGGCATCCCAGCATATTGGTCTTTGTCTCTGCCCCATTTCCCATTAAAACAACCCTATCTTTAATTTGTGTATGTACAAAGTCTATTCTGCAAAATATTCATGTTTTTTTTATATCAAAAAAGTGACCTGAAGTTTTTATTAACATAAACCAAAACAACAATCGCTTCCCAACTGTAGTAGTGTTGTGGAAATGTAGAAATGTTGACAATAAATGTTAACAAAACCATGGATGATCCTGGATTTTAGATCAGAAATTGTCTTGTAAAGCACTACAGGAAAACGGCTTACTGGTGTGTAACTTGTGTCAGCTACGCCTCTGCAGCTTTTTATTTCAAGTTGAATGCAATCTATCTGTTTTACTTATCCCACCTTTCTGTCTTCTCCTTAGGTCCATAGACTGTAAAACCCAATTAGACTCATCGAATAAGAACTCCTTGGAAACAAATACGAAAGTCGAGCCAGAGTCTGCCCTAGCATCTCAAGTAAGTGCTCAGTGGGACAGGAGCAGGCAGGAATCGTTATTGCATGCAGTGTCTTTACTTAAAGTGAGAAAGCCTCACAAATCTCAAATACATAGCTCTGACTGATGGTGAATCTGTCATAATAATTGTATGTAATTATGAATTCTACTTGTTTATCTAGCACCTGCATGTTTGGGCACAGCAGCTAGGCTTAGCAACTTGTGTATCTAATAAGACACACTGTTGTGTGATTATTAACCCATCATGTTGTCCTAACACCTACAATTCTTCCATTTCAGCTCAACAGGCAGTATATTAGTGGAAGACATGTAAGCCTCCCTATGCATCCTTTCATACAATATTGAAAGACTTACACATTTGCACCGAGAAAACAGCATCACACCATCTCAAAATTTGTCTTAAAAATACAAAAAGAGGTGATTGTTGAAGCAAGGGTTGGTCTTGAAATTGTGTTGTTGTGGTGCTGCAAGGTCCAAATGTCAAGTGCTTTCCTCCCGAGTTGATGTTTCTGTGTAGGTCTGCATAAGGGGTCTTGTTTCCAGACACCATTATTAGATTAATAGCCGATGAATTATTCAGCAGGCTTACTCAGAGCACATTAGTGTTGATCCCACCAAGCCAGCTAGGCATACATCACCTTTTCACCACTGATAAATAATAGATTTGAGATTATAGATAGCTGTCCAGGATGGAGGGAAGTTATTGGCAAACAAACACACTAAATTTGTTCCACTCAGGAGTTACACAGTAGCTCGCTGACAGAGATCCTGTAAAAAGTGGTTTTTAGTTTCCAACTTGGCAGGTACCACTAACACATGCATGCAAACAAAGCAGCCGTGTGTTGCATGAAACTTACACGCACAAGAGCCAGCACAAGTAAATGGCTCAAAACTTTAAGCTTTAAGGAAAAATCCACCATCATATCATTGGGCATTGATGACTTTATAACTTGAATGAATTCTGAAAAGTTGATTATTTGAGTTATGAAGTTCATTCTTAACTTTGTGATTTATATTTGACATGGCAAAATAATCTCATCTTAAACTCCTCTTACTGCTGTAGGTTTTTCCTGAGCTTTCAACTGCATCTCAGTCTTTGTGAATGTAACTGTATATCACTTGTTTAGCGTATTCAACTGACCATTCATTTAACTGAACAGCCAATCATAGCTTGCCCAAAATAGGGTTACATTTGCCAAACACAATAAAAGTGTTAAAAGTGAAAACATACTGAAATATGAACAGCTATGAACAGCTATGTCCAAAAAATGACATCACGATAAAATGATCAGTCGATATCAATAATTAATCACCATGAAATAATTTTTTCTGTTAAGTTCAAAGACAATTTTTTCTACATGAGTGAAGGTTGTGCTCCTCTAGCGTTTTAGTGAAACTAAAAAGCTGTGGTTTTGGAAAGCTCAGTTTGATTCTGAAACATCATTAAATTGATATGAAGTGATATGATATATTCATGTAGGTAGTTGAAAGATTTTCTACCACTAATCGATTACTGTACTGACTAATAAAATTGAAGTCATGGAAAAGCAACAAAAAGGTAAATAACTGTTTTGTAACTAGTGTTATATTTGGGGTGGATTTTTTCTTTAACCCTGCTACAGCATACTGCAGTTTTTTTCACTTGATTTCAACACTGCATGAATTTTGTTCTAGTAAATAAAAATGTGGTTATCTCCAATAACTGAATGAGGCAATTTCATGAGAGACCGTTAATTCTGGGATTATGTAACCTCAATTAATCTTGCATAATGGCAGTTTGCAGAGATGGCAATAATGACAGGTACTGACCGGTCTGAGTGCCAAGCAGCCTTAGGAAGCCCACACACGTGGAGCCATTGATTCTACGTAATGGATTTCTTGGCCCTGGAATATATACAGTCGCTGCTATTTACAGTAAATCGAGTGCTATATTACATGCGAGCATGGAAGGGCATCTCAAAATCACTTCCACCCCTGCAGTATAAATTGTGTAGGTGTAATAGGTAATAATGTAAGACACACTGCACTCTAGTAATGCAAAACCACATGTGTGTAACTGATCGATTTTGTGGTGCAGAGCAAGGCTTCATATACGGTTTCACATACAGTTCATGGTGGCGTGGGGTAGGTTGTAGTGGGTGAGATGCTGACACTACTGATTCTGCTGGTCTTCCTAAGCATGGCAGAGGCTTTGTCGAGGCAGGGATATTTACTTGTCCCTGAGAAAGCAGAGACGGCTGAACCTGACCACCCCCCCCTGCCCGTCTCGCCCTCTGGCTGATTGTGTATGTATGTTGCGTGTGTGATTGTGTGATGTGTTGTGCTACATGGATGTGTGTATGCGAGGGTGTTTGTGATGTGCTCTGTGAGTTTGGGAATAATGAATTTTGTTTGTGCATTAATGTATATAATACAAACTGGGTCTGCATATGTGTGTGTGTGTGTCTTTATGACAGGCTCGTTTAACAAAAGAGCAGCGGTGGGGCAGTGCCCTCCTGTCCAGACATCAGTCCCTGGAGGAGGAGTTTGAGCGAGCCAAGGCTGCTGTTGAGGTAAGCTGCAGAGTACACCTCACATCTGTCACCTGTCAACTTTACAGCTGACTTTTAATAAGACTTGGAATATTAACCAGCAGAACTGCTGTTGCATGGAATTGCCGAACCATGCAACAGGAATCAAGGAGCAATGCTTTGAACCTGGGGCCACGTAAAAATGTCATTAATGTGGACAAATGTAATCACAAGTTTGTTAAAAAAAAACATCTTAGCACGAGGCCTCAGGACATTGCCTGCTTGGCCTACCCTGTTGTAACGGCACTGCTTGTCTGGATATCTTGGGAAAGTATTATTTTTTTCTTGGGAAAGTTTTCCTTTCCAGAGGATCCACACTGAAGGTTTTTGAGCAAACGCAGAATCTCAAGGGGGTCAACAAGTAAAGCTTCTGCCTCTAATCTCAATTTGCTGAGGTTTAAGCCAAGGAAATCATCCATCATTGTTCATGTAGCCTCATAATCACCCCTGAAATGTAAATATCTACCTGAAGCCCTGTGGAGCTGATTTCCATTTGACTTATTCAGCCCTTTTTAACCCCCTGTCAAATGATCGCCATTGTGCTTCCTGTATTTGCTCCTGCGGTGCGAGCTGACAGTGTAAATGTCTATTCATGCGCTCAAGTTCACAGGGTGTTTGACCCAGAAAATTATTCACAACTCTCAGCTGGCTAACAATAGGAAGGTATATAGGTCAGTCATTCTGCGGCCAGACGTATCAGGTATCACAGGGGATGGCAAAGTTAAAGTAATTAGATGTGGTTTAATTCATCATAGGAATGTGCATCAACGTGCTGCGTGCGTCGAGTCGTGAAATACGCCTGACGTTCTCGTGCCCTCAGGCTCATGACAGGGTTTGCCATTACCTTACTGCATGATCCACTGATAGAATAGATGAGATGAAACAACATCTACTTAAACATTATTTTCATGAAGTTTCTTTCAGCTGAAAATATTTTTTTACAGCAGCTTAGACAGAAGTTTAGATAACAGACAGAAAAAGGAAGTTTTGCTTTTTTTTTACTTGTATGCTACAATTGAACTGACATGTCACTTCTTAAGAAATATGAACCATGCACTAGAAAGTTACTTCAGCTTTACTGAGGTCTCCAGTAGTCTGTTGCATGCTGAGATATGTGTAATGGTCAATAAATAATGGGAGCAGAGACAGGAGGAGGGTGAGAAAGTGAGAGGAGGAGCAGCAGCAGAGGAGTGGACTGACCCGCTTGGGGATCCCTTCCTAAACTTAGCGATGATGTCACGTCTTGTATAAGCCCTAAGCTGTATCTTCTCAAAGAACAGCACAGTTTGAGAACATACATCAGCCAGAGGGCAAGCGAGGAGATGCTTCTGGACGAGCGTCTGAGCACGGAGCATCGATTGGTAACAGTATCTCGCTGCTTCGATCCAGCAGCCTGAGTGCTGGCCTCTGGTCTAGAGGAGCCCTGATGCAAGCAGGCAGCCATTCTGGCTTCAACTGTCGAAATAAAAGCCCACAATCAGATAATTTCCATTGAAGTAGCTGTGCATATGCATGCTTTTTCATACTAATGAAAATATGGAGGTAAAATTGGTCATGAAGGCAGAAAGAACATTAAATCAACACGTTGCCTTTCTGCCAATTCATTGAATTAGATGAAGGGGCAAAATATAAAAAAAAATTAGGGCCCACAGAGTGTGCAGACAAGATATAGGGAACTATATTCCATTTTACAAAGCTGGCACTGATGAGAAACTGAGGTTTTTATGCTTTAATCAAATTATAAAAAGAGAATAAAATGGCCCCGGTGAGTAAGCTCAGCTCTGAATTCATTAACAAAGAGCCTGATTGAGAGATTCCTGAATAGGGAAGTGTCCATGAGCATGAGCTTGAACACACCAATCAATCTCTATCAATCAATTTCTCTGAGCTGATGACAGTGTAATCTGTATTTAACAGAGAACTACTGGAACAGCTGCAGGGTAGATTTTGACTTCAGGGAACAGTGTATTGGCTGTGGGGCATGAGACGGCACTCCCACGGTGGAGATAAAGGCGAGATGAAGGTGCCTTGTTTGATTAAATCTGCAGCAGGACAGATTTACTCTCATCTTGCAGAATATTGCTCAGAGGCGGGTCTTGGTTTAGTGAGACTCTGCAGAGGCAGAACAGTTGCCTACAAGTTAGAGATGCAGGCTTGCAATCAAAAGGTCAGTGGTTTTAATCCACAGACCTGCCCGGGAGATGCAGAAGGGGGAAAGCAAATCAGTAATGCGTTTGCCTCTCTCAAAAACTTCCATCGGTGCTCTGTCAAGCAGACATCTCAACAGGAAACTCTTCCAGTTGAGATGCAAAGTTTCAGCAATATTATTATATTTACAATGAATATTATCAAGCTGTTAAATTTGCTTATGAAAGTAAAATACAAATTTAGATTGAAAAAGACAGGTTTGCTGCAGGTGAACGCTGATAAGAATATGTGAAAGCTCCATTAGTTCAACAGTCAATAACCAGACAAAAACACATGTCAGGACATTATACGCTTGTTACTGATGCACAGCTCAGTGCAAACTTTGTGGTTATCAACCGCACAAGACTACAAGCACTATGCCTTGTTATCACCGACATCCATATAGGAGGTAATTTCATTGTGTGCCAATATGCCTTGGTAGCACTTTGTCTACTAAAATGTATTTTATTCTTCTCTGAGTGACATTATCAGGACTCCAGCTTCCTATTTTTATCTCGCTGACCAAGGACTTGGCCTATGCAGCAGAGCAGGGGGTGGCTCGTTAACATTAAAAGGCCAGGCCAGCCATGCTGCGGAGATGAGGAGAGATTTTCTTTTTTTTTTTGAGGCTCTGTCACTGGTAAATAATGAGACTTTTTGTAACGTAAGCTCCCTGAGCAAAGTGGATAACTAAAGGCTTTTCATGTGTTGCTTTCCTCCAATTGGCTGTGTCTCAAGGTAAAATAACGAACAACGACACAGTTAACGTAACCGTCCACTTCAGGAGCACTCACACAAATAATGTTATGATTAAGTGCATTTCAACAAAATAGTCACTTTATTTGCCTGAAAATTGTTTTATGTTTGCAAAGAGCTTCAGGTCCCTTTATACTATTATTCATGTGCAAAATGGTCAACAGATTTTCATAACAGGAAGTCCTTTGACTGGCAGATTTGTATAAATGTAGACAAGGCTGTGATCTGTTTTGTGCTACAGATAGATGAAACAAAATACAGGATAAAGCTTTGTTTTGCAGGTTGAATGTTGTTTGCTTGGGGACAACAATCTGCCACAACATAAAGACCAGTTACATGTATTAATGTTAAGGCAAATCTGGGAATATATAGTGAAGTAAAAACAAATAGATCATCTGAGTCCTGTTAAATATCATTCATTCTCTGTTAAATCGAAATCTTTTGGAGCTACCGTATTAGACTAAGACAAAAGCAAATACAATGGATCAGTAGTTTCACTGACCTAGCATGATTTATCAAGTTCTTCTCCATGCAGAGTAGTTTTTTCCACTATATAAATAAATAACTTCAGTTCAGCTGACTAAAAAACACTACTTTGATTATAGTTGCCTCTGATGGAGTTGTCATGATTAGCCATGTTGTCAGTAATGCATTCTTAAAGTTATAAATCCCCACCTTACCTCCAAGCCAACATTTAATTTCCAGGCAGTGGTGACATGATTGGCAACAGGGAGCTTCCTGGATTCAATCCATTTCACCTAACACTTCATCAGAGGTGCTGAAATTAGAGTCAGAGCGACGGGTTTGCTCCAGTGGTACACAGGATATAAATTACCTCTCTGTATCTTTGTCTTGTTTTGCATAATTGAACTGCCAATGCCGGTGTTGAAAAATGCCCTTCACAGCATTGTAAAGAAATATGACAGAATTTCTTGTAAATTAAAAACTCGTCTGTACAATTTTTCCATTTCAAATCACGAGAAATAAGTTGTCACCTGTCATGCTAATAAGGGGTGCAATACGTGCAAACACTGGCGCACACGGTATGGTAAGAATTATTTTTTTTTAATTAGTGTATATTATGTAAATTAGCATAATGGCTGTAGCATGAAACCTAATCATATGAGTGTGGATATGGCTATTAGCGCTAATAATTGCGTAAAACTCAAACATTATGTTCTGGAATAAAAACAATCTAACGATATGCTGAGGTTTGAAATTTGCTCATAAATATGCATCTTAGGTAAATAAAAACAAAATTAACTTCTATTAGGACCCCAGCAGAGAACTGGCACTAAGATTTTAACACTGAATCCAAATTCTTACTGACTTTTCAGTGATCTCCGATAGTGTACTTCCTGATAGAAACAGTGGAGACTCTCCATCAGGCAATTTGTCTGAGAGTCAGCAGCCTGCAATTACCTGCCATCTCTCACCGTCAGAGGCCACACTATGGCCTCCATGTCAATCACAAGCCCCTAAGATGTGGAGATGAGACGTCCTTTCACCCAAAACACACGAGATCTTTCTGACCCTGCTCATCACTACAGCATCACTACACACACACACTACCCGCGCTGTCACACATTGATGAGTTTCTGGTCAGAATGAATGACAGAAAAAGAAGCTGTAACTCTCAGCATGTCATGCAGCTGTGAATCCAAGACTTCAGTAATTCGGGCCAGTACTGCACTGTATGTACTCTTCCATCATGTCCATACAACCGTAATATTACCTTTTGTTAGATTTAACAATGAAATAAATAAGTAAAATCTTTATGATGAGTTCAATCAGAGTGATACCTGAAATGTTAAATCTATGGAAAAACTGCATGAAGCTTTAATTCAGATCTAAAAGAATCTGATTCAATTCACATGTGCTAAAACAGGAGAGATGCTGTGTGGTCCTGTTTAGCAAATTTAGATAGATCCCTTGATGAAGCTGTTTGAACACATTGCAGCAGTTTCTTGGCTTAGGCAGTTAAACAGAGTGCTAACATGTATAAACATCACTGTACATTACTTGAAAAATATGCATTTGGTTACAGTATTTGGTTCGAATTCAGAGGGTATCATCATCATCAGCATACAGGGTTTAGTGTTGCATCACTAGGGAACAAGATAAATAGTTGTTAATAGAAATTCTAGTCAAGTAAATAACACAAGAGCCAATGTAGGAATTGTAAAATCACTGAAGTTATCAAATTGCTATATGTAAATGAATGTAGATATTTTCATGTTTTGATTTTTTTAACTATGCAGTGAGTTTTAACTCTCATGAGGGCACAGATATAAGACCAAGTTTGGGTCTAAGTTGAAATATGAAAATCAGAGTTCCAACCAATATGGGCTTATAAAATATAAACAATCAAACTAAAGTGGAAAAATGGATTTTCTGTAGTTCTTCACTTCACGTTGACTTTTGACTGCATCTTTCCAAACACCTTATTTGTTTCCAGGCCTCCATCTCTGCTTTACCTGGTTTTACAAATGGCACATACAACCTTGGGTTTAAGGGGAGTAAATATCTCCAATATTCCTAAATTATTAAATGAGGTAAAGTCATCATCCTAACGACATTTACTGTGATTAAAGCAGTTAGCTGCACAGCAGAGGCTTCTTCAGCGCTGCTGATTGCGCTGGTGTGCAAACATTTTTGGAAACAGTTTAATGTGAAAGTAGGAAAGTATTACTCTTTACTCCTTCTACTGTACTTCTGAGTTCTGATACTGATTGTCTCCACTTTGTTGTTCATGGCTCTGCATTGGCAGAATATTTCAAACAACTGTTTTAATAAAGTATTAAAACAATACAAACTTGCCAGTTTCTTTAAACCAATTCAGTTCTGTCCTGATATCAAATTTAGTTTGATGATTATTG